TTAACTGTCCTTGAGCACAATGTTGGGAGGGAAGAATGTTGGATTAAAGAAGACTTTGGTCTCTGAATGGCAACATTCTTCCTATGTTCTTTTGAGTTATTCATGAATCCCTGAATTGTCAATATTACACTGTCATAGATACTTTCACATTTATATGATTACTGTGATCAGTGAAAGTGCTTTCATTCTTCTGTTTTATGTTAACTGTCCTTGAGCACAATATACCTGTGAAAATGGCAGTATACGTTAAACTCTCTGTGACTATTCAATTTACAAGGCTAAATGTTCCTATTTACATAGATTTTTGCTTTCCACTTTCACTTGTTCCTTTAATACCCTGAAAATAAGACAGGGTCTTATATTAATGTTTGCTCCAAAAAACACATTAGGGCTTATTTTCAGGAGATGTTTTATTTTTTTCATGTACAACAATCTACATTTATTCAAATACATTCGTAGTCTTCTATTTGCTGCACAGTGGTGGAGGGCAGGGTTTCATTTTGGGCTTATTTTGGGGGTAGGGCTTATATTACAAACATGCTGAAAGATCATATTAGGTCTTTATTTCAGGTTAGGTCTTATTTTCAGGGAAACAGGGTAGTTCTCCCTGGATTGCCCTGAAACAGTCTGTCACTGTGCAGAAATGATTTCATAATATTGAGTAGCCTAGCCCTTGGCTCCTTTGAAGGCATAGCTTAAGAACTGTTATTCAAACGCACTTTCAAAGAACAACTTGCCATTTTAGTTAGGGTAACAGAGCTGTTGTTGACCCTGAATTTATCTTGCCATTATTGACATTAAGAGAACACAACACCCTCTAGATCAGCAGGGATGCCAAACCACAGCACAGAAACAATAAACAATAGAACGGTAACGTCCTGTCCTGATATTAAATGAATACATTTGAAAAATTACTGATACTGTAGAGTATGGCATTCAGTTCTTCTGAAGGAAAATTAAGAAGCTAACTGTATATTTCTTGGCAGGCATCCATTCTTTTTCCCATAACACTCAAGTGCTCTTTGGAATACTAATATATCTATGAAACATAATATTCTTCAACACACATTCTTAACCTAGTAGATTAGGAATCGTCTTTAGAAATTTTTAGAAGAAATTATGTCACACAAAAACATTTTAAAAAGTAACAATTGTCATTTTCTAAGTTTACTTTCATGCAAAATATTGTCATGTCAGCGGATATGTCCATAAGCATGCAACCAAGTATTCCCTCAGATTAAGGAAAGACCTTCCCTGTCAGTCATACAGATGTGTGTTATAATGGTCTGGCTCAACCAGTGTTCCATATTTTGGGGTACATGTGAGGGAGCAGTTGTTTTGACTCATTTAGCAATGAAGCTATGAAGAAACATTTACATTATACTTCGTTGGCAACATGCTCATTTTTCAGTTATATCACTGTATGAGCACAACTCATTTTTCAATAAAATTGATCTATATTTAAGTCAACTATCTTTTCATTGTCTTGTTATAACTAAGTTGACTGTAATGTTACATTTCCTATTTGTTAATTGTGTATGTTTAGCAAAAACATGTTTCGGAATTACTGTTATCAGTTTTGTCCTGTGATTTTCCTCATTTCATCAAATACTTGGTTCCAAAATAACACTATAACAAAACAGAGCCATCCCGCATGGAACTGCCCCCTTTTGCTCTCATCCCCTCCAGAGAAAAGATCTATTGGTTAGTATCTTGACTAGGGTAGCATACCATCTAAGGAGTATTTTTAATACATTTCCTTTGTGTAGATGAAAACTAATTTGAGGGGCTCTTTTACTGATTAGTTCCCATTGATTTCTTGACATTTAAGTCGCAATGTTCTCTCATACTATTCTCAGTCCACTTCATTGATGCCATTTCAGTTTCAAAGAGGATTCAATATAATTTTAGAAACTCTGCCTTTTGTGAATTTGTAAGTCAATATGACCAGATAGGCGGGGTATGAATGGAATAAATAAATAAATAAATAAATAAAATAAATAAAGCTGTAGCTTCTTAAATTTTTCAGTTAGTAGACCAAACAAATAAATAAATAAATAAAGCTGTGGCTTCTTAAATTTTTCAGTTAGTAGATGATTTGGTGCATGATGATACAGTTCCTATTTCCTCTTTTTGCTTTGTTTACTAATCCTCATATCCCTTATATTCCCAGTTCTTGAACTGAATAATTTACTACCACATAGTCTTGTGCTGCCTGAAAAAACACCAAAATTTCTTTGGTGTAATTTTCCATGGATTGCAGCTAACTTAATTAGACACATCATTACAACAGTAACATCATCATTACTATACATTTTAACAACTGACTGTAATCCAGTGTTATCTTTTTGAGAGCTCTCTGTAGCAAAATAATGGCTCTTACGGGACTTTTGGTTTGGTGCTTGCACATAAATCCATTTTATCCTTATTCCTTTATTAGAAAGAATTATACGACACAACTAGTGGAGTGTCATATTATATATTAGGAGAATTTAAGTAATCTCCACCCTCTTTCAGTTATTTCTGAATCTAATTTTTGTTTGTACAAAGATGTTTTTTTCTTCACTTTTCTCATATTTTTTGTAAGGTCCAAATTGCTAACACTTGGAACAAAGACAGGGGTACAGGTAACAGCATAGACATATATGTGGATACCTTTCTGCCCCAAAAATACTCAATTGGACCAATGCATGATCTTTCATTTGACATTTATTTATTTGATCTTACTACTGAGACACTGTAAATAATATTTTAAGATTTCTTTGTAATGGCTGGGATTGAAAACTCTGTGTCAGTGATGAATTGGGGCAACAATATCTTCTGGAAACAGACCTATAGAATATTTCTGAGATTTCATCTTTAATGTATTTCAGTAATCTATTTCCTGTTTTTTCCACTAACTTGTTCTAATTGCGATCTACTTTTTATTGTTTTCAATATATTTAAATGCTTTGTTAATTTTTTTTTAGTTTAATTTCTAGCAATGTTTGTTATTGTGTGATATTCTTTTGCTTTTTCCATTGTTGTAAACCACCCCGAGTGGCCTTTGGCCAGATGAGCAGTATAGAAAGCAATCAGTCAGTCAGTCAGTCAGTCAATCAATCAATCAAATATTCAACCAATCAATCAATCAATCAATCAATCAATCAATCAATCAATCAATCAATCAGTCAAATATCGCTTTTGTCAAAACTTCTGATGATACTACAAACAGAATAAGGCCCTATATGCATTTTAATTAAGGATAGCTTATGATTTTTATTCATTATATTTTTATAATTTTATTCATTATTCACTATAATGGATATTGCTGGGTTTTATTCTTATTGGAAAATTGCTGTTTTGATAAAAATATGATATTGCTAGATTTAGTTACATTTTATCATTTATATAGAATATTATATCATTCCATGTGTAATATATTTTTTTTAAATTCTACGTTGTCCTGGATTTCTTTGGAAAGAACAACATAGAAATAAGAATAATAAATAATAAATCATAAAATAAAATATGAAAAACTTTAAATAGCAATAAAAATAATTTTGTTTTTCTTTAACTGAATGAAGTATTCTTCTGAATCATTCTTCCCACCCTTATGTAGGTTCTGTGGAAATCAGTATAAATTAAAATAAAACTGTTTTCCAAAAGAAAGAATGAAAGTAAAGAAATTAGATATAATCACACACACAAAAAAACTTGGAATATTCTTGTTTGTTTTCTATTCAAGACCCCATTAGATTTACTTACTATAAACTTGTATAGATCTGCCTCAAACGACAACCATATTAAATACATACTTGTCCTTTCAAAAAAGAAAGAAAAGTAGGACAATGTACAATCTGGTGCAAAGAAATATAGAACTATCCCAATAATCTTAAACACAAAACGAAGGCTTAGATGTCATCTACAGCTTTGTCTCTATTAGCCATAGGTTATTCAGATGCCTCCCCACCAGAGTATTAGTATCTGAGAAGATGCTGTAGTTCTTTTCTCCCACAGCTTTTACAACAATGCTTTGTCATGGAAATGACTAACTTTACCAAAATTTCAACCAAAGAAGGTAACTTCTGAGGTTAGTAGATATAGCCCTAAACATGGTATGGATTATGGAATCTGGAGAAGGCATCCCTGTTTTGAACTGACAAAAGGACCAGCTAAATTAAATCTCATGGTCAACTAGCAGGGTTTGCCATTGACTAGCCCATGCTGCAGGCACACCTCTTCCTCTGTTTCTTTCCAGATAATACCAGAAACCTTACACACTTCTCTGTGTCAGCCACGGGTTTCACTGGTTGCTAATGACTGACCAGGCAAAAGAGGAAGAACTGGCTCTTTATAGTTAACTCAGGAGTTTCAAATTGTCTGCCAACTGCCAACGTACAAATTTGTACAATTCAGTTTCATCCCTCAAGGGAGGAAGCAGCCTGAGCATTAAAAGTCCACAGTACCTATCAGGCCCTAGTCCATCTTCAATCTGAAGTCACAAAATTACTGACACTGTTCCTGTAGAATGCCAGACCAATACAACAGTAGCCAGGACTGCTCTCTTGTGACGTAATCACCAAAGCTATTCTTAATGCACAATAGGCATGCTGTCTGGGGATGCTGGGAATTGTAGCCCATCCAATCTGGTGTCACAGTAGCAGACTCAAAGAGAAAGCCCAAGGTTGGCAGAAATATAAATAAATGATGGGGGTTGAATTAGGAAAGCTTCTCAAAATAGCACAACAAAGGCTAAGAAGGCTCACGGGAAGCCAGCTAACCCTCAGGAAATAATGAAAAGCCAGATAGCAGAGGGAGTGCAATATTATTATCCTGGAAAATGGTATGGATGAATGCAAGACAGGAAACCACAAAAATAGTGCCTTGTTCTGTAACATTCCCCATATAGGAAAGATATTATCTTTATTTTAACATATCCCACTTGTGTTATTACTTCTAGCTGTTGTACTTTTAGAAACCACTATATTCAACAATATGTACATTGTGCCAATACTTACGAGAACAAGTTGTAGTCTGCCACTCAAGGCACTGTCCATATGGAAAGGAGATGATGTAGGCATTTGAATCAACACATCGTTTTGTGCTGCTGCACCACATGCATTCCATGCCGCTACTTGTGCAGTTGGAACATGTTGTCCGTAAGGAACACGGCTTTTTGCAGGGCCTGGCGTTTTGATTTGGACTAACTAAAGGTGAATGAGGAACAGCAAAAACATAGACACTGAGCATTTCTTCCTAGTTGCTTTACATTATTACAGTATCATTAGTACATTATTACAATGATCCATCACTGATATTGTTCTCTTTCCTCTATTTGGGAATGCTTTCAGGCTATGCTTACACATTATTATCGCCATACAATTTCTTCTATGTAGCAAATAGTAGATGTACAGTAATCTGTGAGTTATTTTACTTGACTTCAGTTATTAGTGTATGTGACATCCAAAGTCCAGACGTCAATTTAGCTAAGTGTAGATACATTGTAAAACAACATGACTGAATCCATTTTAATAGGTATAATAATCCATGACCTTCTGGTTCTACTGTATTTGTTAAATAGTGCATAAACAATAGTTATTTACTTCACTGGTGATATATTCTTCCTTAAACAGTGAACATTTTATCTAAGAGCATAATTTGCCAAGTGAGCATCTGCCCCCCAGCGTATATATTTGCAGTTGGTACAAATGCAATGAGAAAACAAGAGAAACATTTTTAATACAGTAAAGAGAATATTTTTCACAGCAGAGTGCATTCTGTCTTCTTTAGTAGCATATATTGTCCATGAAACTAAAGCACAACAGTCTTCATACCTGTAACAACTTAGAAGCAGAGGTATACAATTTTCATTTGAGAACTTATACCTGTGAAGAATGAGCCATGGAGCTTCCTAGCAGTGGAAACTCTCAACTACACAAAGCAAACAGGAATATATGAGCTACTATAATAGGACATGTTTTAAGAGGTTTTTTAAATCAGAATAGTCTACACCAGTCGATAGTAGTGGCAGCTAATGTGTTATTTATTAAGTAAACGAGTTTTATATTTCATGTGAATTATTTATAAGAAAGCAATTAAGTTGTAAAATCTGTTTTCTATGTCATATTCTGCAGTTTCCCCATAATATATGTGACAAACCTCTTCTTAACATGGGAGAGCCAAAGAAAGCAAAAAAGTGTCTACAGACCATATTTGTTGTTTCTAAGCAGTATTTTTCCCTGCTGTTAATCCCATAACAAGGGCTTCCTAGTGGACTCACTCTCATACGTAACAACAGTAAGTTTATACATTACATTTGACAGCATTCCGGATAGACTATACACTTCATAGAAATATTTATGGATGTATTTTAGTTCCTTTCATTATCATTGTGTATTAAGTCTCTGCACTTTTATGTTCCTGTTAGCTCAATAATGCAACGTGCATAATGTTTCTGTACTGTTGTGGGTTTTATGTGTCAATTCCATTATACTCCAGCATAGGAGAAATTGTTAAAAGTGATCTCTCCTCATATTCAGCTATAGTTATGGTGAAGAACAATGTCTTCTCATTCCTAAAACAAGAGGATCCATTCTGTTTTTCTTTGATATTTTATACTCTAATGAAGAATATCCCCATGTCACAAAATGACAGAAGAAACGCTATCCTTTTCTATCAAGCTTAAAACAAGTTTAACAAATGGATTTCTATTGGATGAGAGAGTTGAACTTAGATGACATCAGAGGTCAACTCCACTCAAGGAGCAGGCATACCTCCTGCTGCTACATTAAACTATCATTGCGAGTTTGAAGAGGCAATTTGAGAGGAAAGGGATGTGCACAAGATGTACGTGAAACATTATAAGAAATTGTTCTCTCTTGCAGACCCATCCATTAGAATCATTTCAGAGTTAACAAGCAACTGTCACTCAAAAATTGTCACATGTGGATTTGAAAAATATATGGTAAGTGTGATGGAGTTGAAGCAGTGTGGGATATGTAGTCAGAGAAATGTAAGATGGGGTTAGACAGGTTCTATGTGAAGACATTGGAATGTGTTTTTTACAGCCTGGTTTGAGATAAAGCTGAAGGTGGAATCAAGAAGCCTGTGAAAGACTCAACATTCTGAGCTAATTGGAGAAGAGATAAAACACCTGGATCTTCATGGGAATTGACAGTAGAGGAAGGTGTTACAACCCCTTAAGGCTAACTGGTTAACAGCCATGAAGAGTCAAGAAGAAGGGAGGAATTAGAGAATGCAGAAAATGGACAATGGGTTGTGTGGGAGATGTTCTATTCCATGATGATGGGAGAAAAAAGAACTTGACGGTTTGAATATGTGGCTTGAAGGAGAAAGAATGTAAGTGAAGAGAAAGAAAGAGGTGGGGCTAGCTCACTTTAGCCCAGCTTAGTAGTGTTTATTAGTTTAATGGGGATTTGTTATTTTATTTAACTGTAATGATCTCTGAATATGTTCTTTATGCTAAAGATTGAGCAATATAAACTGATTCTATGAAACTATTTTTCTAATAAAAATAATTATAAACATTCTTACAAAAGTACTGGTCTCTTGAGCAGCAGGGGCTAGCTAAATCCAGTAGGTGGAGAGGGCCACAAACTAGCTATCTTTAAGAGCCCTACCTAACTGAGTTGTTGTGAATTCTAAGGAATCACAAAGCCCATGTGTCTGTACTTGCAGAGTACTGGGAAAAAGTAAAGTGTTCTTTTCAGGTCAGACTTGTTCAAGGGGCTTATGCTACACACTGCTGAGGTCTTGGGACTTGCCTCGGCACCAAGGTGGTAGGTAATAGAATAAATAAATAAATAAATAAATAAATAAATAAATAAATAAATAAATAAATAAAAAGTGGCCTGTCAAACTCTCTGACCAAGTGCTAAGCACTCCTTAGGGAGCCTTGGGCACCACAGTAAGTTACCATGATTGGGAAGCCTTAAGTGACATAGAACACTTAACTATACTGTATGAAAGCCATTATGCCCTTGTTCTGAATCCCAGAGTTATTTGTTTGTTTGTTTGTTTGTTTGTTTGTTTGATTGATTGATTGATTGATTGATTG